TTGTCATGAGGGACCAATCACTGGAGAAGGATATCATGTTTGGTAGGGTGGAGGGTCAGAGGAAAAAGAGGAAGACCCCCAGCAAGATGGATTGACCAAGTAGCAGCATCAATGGACTCAAGCGTGGCAACAATATTGAGGTTGGCCCAGGATTGGGCCGTGTTTTGTTCTGCTGTGCATAAGGTAGCTATGAGTTGGCACCAACTTGATGGCACCTAACAACAACAACAAGAAATGTATTCTATTATTAGGACAGAGGGTAAATACATCCATGCACATTTATGCCATAGTTAAGACATCTCAAGGATAAAAATGTTAATACAAATATGAAACCAAATTGCTACTTATGAAGACAAAGTTTAGTGTCCCTAGTGAAGGAAGCACATGTTCCCCAATGGAACAGGAGCCTCTGTTGCCTGAGTCCTTGAGTGAGAAGACATAGAGAAAACCTCCAGTTGTCCCCAATGGGCATGTGATGAGATCAAGAAATCAATCTCTATTGTTGCAATGAAACCAGTCCATCATGACTGACACATCTTTTTTTTAAATCAAAACTTGCATCCTTCTCAAGAGGCAGAAATCATCCGAGAGTCTCTTTTCTAGCTTCCCTTGGAACTAACGGTGATTTTGTGACATAATTTTGGGCAAGTAAATGTAAGAAAAATTCTACTTGCACGCCTACTAATTATCTTCCAATACTGAACAGAGATTCTGAGGCGAACTCTCTTCCAGCTGCTGCATGTAATGGTATGAAGATGTAAGGTAGTCATTTTTCAGCTGAGGGAACAAGGCTAATATTTAAAGTCAAAAGGTTAAGAACAGAGCATTATGTCCTTGGTAACATCATTGAAAATGACTGCACCAAACCTCAACTTGTCACCTCAAGTTTTATTGCTATGTGAGTCTATAACTGTCTTCAGTGATTAGATTACTTGTGATCAGGTGTGTTTTGTTACTTTGAACAGAATATATTCTAATATAAATGAAATATGCAAGTTTCCATCTCTGGCATCCCAGTGATGGTGGTTAGGTGCCATCGAGTCCGTTCCAACTCGTATTGACACTGTATGTTGTTGTTGTTGTTAAGTGCCGTTGAGTCGGTTCCGACCCATAGCGACCCTTTACAGGGTTTCCGAGGGTGTAAATCTTTACGGGAGTAGAAAGCCTCATCTTTCTCCCGCGGAGCGGCTGGTAGTTTCGAACCACTGACCTTAAGGTTTGCAGCCCGATTCGTAACCACATTGACACTGTATAGGGTTTTTAAAACTGTAAATCTTCACACTGTACCATCACGGCTCCTTTTCCCAATCAACTACTGCTAGCAAAATACAGACAACTGGCATTCTTTACTACTGGTGGTGGTTGTGTGCCACTGAATCGGTTCTGACTCAGCAATCCTACACAGAGTTTCCAAAGCTGTCAATCTTTACAGTTATATGTATTTTTCGAGTAGTAGTTCATTGGGAAAAGGAGCCGTGGTGGCACAGCGGGTTAAGTGTTACGCTGCCAACGGAAAAGGGCAATTCAAACCCACCAGCCACTCCACACGAGAAAGATAAGGCAGTCTACTTTATGCAAGCTCATAAATCCTGGTATGGAGCTGTACATTAATGCACTGGACTGCAAAGTCGGTTTGAACCACAAGGTTGGCAGTTCAAGCACACCAGCCACTCCTTGGAAACCCTACACAAGGTTGCTATGAGTCAGAATCAACTCAACAGCACACCTAGTAACAACAACAACAAGATCTATAGTGTAGTTCGAATCTGCCCTCTAGGGTTGTTATGATTTAACAGCAGTAGGCCGGTAGGGTCAGGTCTTCAGAGGTGGGGAGAAGCTGTGAAGTAGTGCTTCCCTTCTGTTTGGTGGTTACAGAGGTCACATTTATAGGTGTCCTCCCTGATTTACATGAAATTCGCCACATTGTGCTCCATCTCTTAAAAATACATGTATATGTTTGTAGACATTAGCTCTCATTAGAAAATTCTTTTCCAACTTTTCATTTATTATTAAACATTCTATTAAATATTGATTTTTATAATGTTAGGTGCCTTCAAGTCGGTTCTGACTCATAGGGACCCCGTATAAGATAAGCACTGGACTGCGAACCACAAGGCCAGCAGTTCAAACCCACCAGCTGCTCCTCTGTAGCTCCATGAGTTGGACAGACTCAACAACACTTCACAACAGCAACAACAACAGGGTTTCTGAGGAACAACTCGTGGGTTTGAACTGCCGACTTTGCAGTTCAACTTGACCTTGCAGTTGAGTGCTTATCTTTATACTCATCAAAAATATAGACTTAGAAGAATACTTGCGTGCTTTCTTAATAAGTCAGAACATCCTTTTAAAAAGAACAGGCAGGGTACAACAACAACAAAAAACACAGACACTTGAACTTGAGAATCAAAATTTTCTCCTGTGTAATTCTCAAACTCAACCCGTTTTCAGTGTTGCCCACCAGTTCTCAATTTTCTCCACACAGTTTGGCTCCAGTGAGTCACTTCCAGCAGCTGAAAGACACAGACTTGGACCTGTGTTTTCATAGTAACAAATCAAATCTTTGTGGTGTTCTTTTCTGTTCAGGTGACTACTGCACCATCTATAATGCAGAGATTTTACAAACTACAGAAATAGAGCTATGTAGGTTGGAAGCGATGGGAGCTAGTGAGAAAGTATGTTCCTGTGTCTTACTTTGGGCCAAGATTACTAGCAGTCAGGTGAATGCGTGCAGAAGGATCAATAGATGATATAGTGCTGCCTTAGCAGTTACCAGTGAACACTAAGGAACCACAGAAAAACCAAGGAAAGTTTCAACAGGAGAATAGAGGTGGTGGGAAGCATTCACACAATCTTCTGTCTAATAAGTACTTTTCACAACCATATAATGAATGGTATCTAATGTCATTTACTTGTGTCCACTACTTTCAGAGTTGCCTGCTCTTTTAGGTTCCTCAATATTTACATTACTATGGTTTCATAGGGAGAAATTATCCTCTGAAATTCTGATTAGCTAACTCTCCAGCAGAAAAAGTCTCTAAACTACTGATTCATCAGTGTCCCAGATTCATTCTAATATTATACAGCATGTCAGGTAGTTAAGCTGGACTAGAAAGGATTGTTACTATTATTATTATCAGTATCATTATTGTTTTTCAAACTTTAAAGCTTACTGTTTTACCTGAAATGATACAAATATGGAAGTATGACTTGGATAGCCTGGAAGCTACTAGTTAAATTGTATCTTTTAATGAAATTTGTATTTTCAGATAACCGGTGTCAGATTGTCACATTGTACTCTTCAGGACTGCTAGGCTGTGTTTCACCATGCCTCAAACTAGTTTTCAAAACTGCATTTATCAGATTTTTTGCAGCCTATTTCCCCCTAAATTCGAGTATCTGACACAGATAATATACAAGTTGTGACTTGAAGTCTGGTGTTGTTGTAAGTGCTGTCAAGTCAGTTGTGACTCAGAGTGGCCCCGTAAAGCATTTCTAAGGCTTTTAAAAACTCTTTACAGAAGCAGAAAGACTCATCCTCCTCCTAGACTTGGAGATTTGTTGTTCTTAAGTACCATCCAGTCAGTTCCAACTCATAGCAAAGGTTGCTGAGGAGCAGCTAGTGGGTTTGAACCACCACCAACCTTTCGGTTAACAGTCAAGTGCTTATCCTACTGCGTCATACCAGGACTTGAAGATTGTTGTTGTTGTTAAATGCTGTCAAGTGAGTTCTGATTCATAGTGACCCTGCATAGGGTTTCCAAGGATCAACTGGGGGTTCAAACTGCCAACTTTGCAGTTAGCATTCCAGTATGTATCGTAAAGAACCCCACTAGGACTTGAAGATTATTGATGTTCAAACACCTTTCCCAAATTTGTGTATCAAACTGAATATTTTCTTATAGTCATTTTTCAATGCTTACCTTCAAGCTAAATATGATATCACTGCTCATCATGGCCCAGGTACCGGAACAATGTTGAGCCTGTGAATGTTTTAATAAATAGTGTACAACTGAGTGGACTCACGAGTAAAGGAGTAATAAAAGACCAAATGTATGAGTTTAGAGCCTTCCCTTTGCAGACTGCCTCCCATCCAGAAACACTTTTTAGTATCTACCCTATACTAAGGGCAAAGCTTTGTGCATTTTTGTTGTTTGTTTGTTTGTTTTTAAGCAGGGGGAGAATAAGGGGAGTGAATTGTATTTCTGAAAACAGTCAAAAATTATTTAGAACAAGTCTTAGAAATAAAAAGACACAATCAAGATGGGGTAAGCACACTGAACAAAATACAGACATGATCAAAGCATTACAAGTGTGACTTTCTTGTCATTGGATTCTGAAGGCAACTGTAAAAATGATTTGAACATCCACAATAGCTCTGCCAGAGGCCTATCAGCTCCAGGTGACTGCTCTGAAAGGCCATGCTTATCTCAATGTAGAAACACAAGCATGTTAATTTCTCATTTATCTAATTAGACTCATACACTGATGGTCAATTTTTACAAACTGTTTTAAAATGTGATTGGGGAGAAAGACCTTATCACTTTATGTTCATCTTAAATCCACAAAACTTCCATTATTCTTTTTGTAAAATGATTTCTATAAACATCTTCCTGTGTTGTTGTTATTGTTGTTGTTAAGTGCCATCGAGTCAATTCCAACTCATAGTGACTTTCATAAAAAGGTAAAACACCGTTTGCATCTTGAGCCACTCATACTTAACATTTCAGAGGCTTCATGTTGAAGGGAATTATCCCATTAAAGGGCCATAAAGCCTTCAGGTAAATCATGCTTTAGGGGGTAGGCCACAAGGTAGGTAGCTGCTGGAATAAGATAAATGGGATATACATTTCATACATTACCATTGTCCAATTAGCAGTAATTGTCTTTCTGTCCCCAAAAAGGGACAATATAGCAGCCAATATGATAGTTTACATTCATGTGAAATCAGTTTTATAAACTTTGCAAAGCTGTGTTTTAAGCGATTTGTTCACTTTTCACTAAGCAGTTACAACTCCAAAAGCAGGGGATGTGCCTTCAAATGGAAGTATTACTGGAGGCTTGAAAATAGTCTGCTTCCGACTGTGTCCAAAGTATTTTATTCTGTAGCGTCCAGGCTGGGCAGTGGCTGGAATATGCCACGCTATCGTTGCATTGCTGTGGCCCGCTAATCCCTTGTGCCAATAAAAACTGTGGGAAGAAAATAAATAAAGCCCAATTTTACTCTTAAAGTTGTGTGATTAGATAACCATTTCTTCAACAAATACTCATTAAGTACCTAGAAGAACAAGGTACTGTGCTAGACATTGACAATATAGCAATGAACAAAACAGGAAAACTAATATCACAACCCCCTACTTTTTAGAAGAGGAACATACAAAATTAAGCTATTTGCATAAATTGTTTGTTATATATTTTTAACTACTTAAATTCCATCTATTTTAGGAAAGTTTGACTTGATATTGAGAATACAGGAAGTTTCATGTTCTAGAACTATGAAAGCATCCTTTTAGCGATTATTATAACTTACTTCAACTGATACTTTTTTTCTTATCTAGATTTACATAATAGCTACCTTATATATGGAGTTCTGGTGTGGCACTAGATTAAGCAATGGATTGAAAGGTCAGTTCAGACTCGCCAGCTGAATCAGAACCAATTTGATGGCACTTAAAAACAACATACATTATATCTTAAATATTTATATTTCTACATTACATTGTGTATGTTTTACTTATATATTTTTATATGACTCCTGGTGTGGTACTGTAGGAACAACGCTGGACTTGTGAACCAAAAGGTTGGCAGCTGAAACCTACAAGCTGTTCCTCCAAAATCCTAAACAGGGTCAATAAGAGAACTAATTTGATGGCATTTAACAACAACATATTTTTTATATAAGATATTAAATGTGTACTTAATACAGATATCAAATATAAACACACACATATATATGTGTGTATATATGTTGTTGTTGTTAAGTGCCATTGAGTCAGTTTCAACTCATAGCTACCCTGTACAGGGTTTCCAAGGAGTGGCTGGTGAATTTGAACCAATGACCTTGTGGTTCAAATCAACCTTGTAGTTTAATCCCACAGCACCACACCAGGACCCTCTCATCCTCTCTCTCTCTCTCTCTCTCTCTCTCTCTCTCTCAACAAAAATATATATATATTTGTTGTTGTTGTTATATGCCATGGAGTAGGTTCCGACTCATAGAGACCCTGTACAGGGTTTCAGAGTCTGCAAATCTTTATGGGAGCAAAAAGCCTCATCTTTCTCCTGTGGAAGAGCAGGTAGTTTCAAACTGCTGACCTTGTGGTTTGCTGCCCAATTTGTAACCAATACACTATCAGAGCTCCATATATATATACACACACACATATACATACATATGTGTGTGTGTGCTAATGTGTGTGTATACATATACACACACACTAGGGTGAGTCAAAAATTATCTGAACTCTGGCTATGGAATTTATTTTAATCTACTTTTAGAAAAGGCAAATACATAATTTTCAAACATAATCTTCGTGCTTTTCAATACACTTTGTCCATCTGTCAACAAACTTGCATAGTCCCTTATTAAAAAATGTTTTAGACTGAGCTGTGAGCCATGAATGCACCGCTGTCTTCACTTCTTCATCAGAGGTGAATCTTCATCCTCGAAAGGCTGCTTTCAGGGAATTGCTTTCAGGATGTTTATTGAACAGGTGAAAGTCCGATGGAGTAAGATCAGTACTATAGGGAGGATGCTTTAACACCTCAAAAGGAAGTTTTTGCAGAGTGTCAACAGTTTGGGCAGAGGTGTGTGGACATGCATTGCCATGCAAGATTACAATGCCCTTGGACAGCAGTCCTCTGCATTTAATACAAAGTTTAGGCTTCAGCTCACTGTAATGAGCTCACTGTTGATTGTTGAACATGTGTAGTTAATAAAGCACAGGTAAACATCTTTCTGATATTCTCTGCTTTCAGCCAAGATCCATCGGACATCAGCAATGATATCTCTCGTTTCATGGCCTCTTCTGAATTCAGCTTGAACCTCTGGAAGTTCTCTGTCAATGTATGATTGTAGCCGTTCTGTATTACCTTTATCAAAACTTTACTCGCTTGAGATATCAAAGAGATTG